TGCTAGTTTATGAACTTTGCCCATTTTTCCATCATAATGTTCAGATTTTTAAAATATTGATTTATAAATATTCCTTATATATTTGATTTTAATCCTTTATTTTTTATTGTATGCATTTTTATAGTTTTTCATTTATCTTTTGTAGTTTGAATTTTTATGTAGTATAATGTAATGCTTCTTGCGGGGTTGGTCTGCAGTCCTTATTCTGATTCGTGATGAAGTTTTCACTAGTTTTTGCTGAGAATGTTAGCATAAAGTGGCTGGCCGCATATTCCTGTTTCTCCTACTTAACAGTCATTGACTTGGTGATGTTTTTCTCTGATTTGAGGCTTAGATATTCGTTATTTATTCTGAGTCAGATAAATGTTCATTTATATTTTCTTAATTCTTTACAGACTCGTGTTCTGTTTGAATTTTTTAATGTGAAATTTGGGAGAGATAATATGTGAGGAGGGAAAGGCTCTTTTGCTCAGATAGTTAACCTGTTAATATTTTAGAACCTATCTGTCTACCCTTGAATCTGTCTTTCATCTAGCAATCTATCTTTGTGATTTGAAATGCAACCACTAGCACTTTTTATTTTTTGGGCATAGCATTTTGATGGGTTGTGGATTAAATCTGAGAGAGAGTATAGTATGGTAGAAAAAACACTGAATTTGACTGTAGAGATGCGTACCTGAGTCCTAGTTTATTTATTAGCTGTTATTTATTTGTTTCTTTGTGAGCACAATATTTTGTCTCAAGGCAAATTTTTGATTCTTAAAATGAAATGTTTAGAGGAAAAATAACTTGGCAGAGAAGGTGCTGATACTGTGCCTCTTGATAGGCTGGCATATATGGTAGTTACTAGCCACATGTGTCTATTGAAATGTAAGTGAATTAAAATGGAAAATTAAGAATTCAGTTTTTCAATTGTACATTTCAAGTGTTTAATATCTACTTTTTGGACAGTGTAGACATTATCACACAGAGTTCTTTTGGGCAGTATTGCAGTCTAGAACTTGAATCATACTTAGGACTTTTTCTAGAATACTGAATTGAAGGCAGATAAACAAGCAAAAATCTGAAAGGAAGAAGGTAATGGAATAATGAATGTGTCAAAATGCAACAGCATAGTAAAAGTTATATAAAAAAATTTTAACTTAAAATTCTCTCAGAGAAAAAAAGCATTGTTTAAAAGTCTGACTTTGTTTTAAGAGTCATGGAGGAAAAAATAAAACATTGAATCTGACTTTGTTTAAAGGGTGCTGGTTCTTAGAAGTTGAGTGTAATCTCCTTTGATTTAGGCACTTCATCAGCTTATTGGAGATTTTCTTATATTAAATTTTATGTCAAGGTGATTTGCTTCAACTGATGTTTCCAGTTTTGAAGGCAATACTGTTTAGTCATAGAGGAGAATATACACTGCAGAAAATAAAACATTGAGATTTTTACAGAATATTTTAAAAATCATATATGCCTTTTAGTGAGATTTAAGAATTTGACACTATAAACAGCATCTTGTTCTTTATAATGCTATTCATGTAATATAGATACTTAGAAAATGTTTAAGATAGGGAAAGATTTTCAAACACTTATTGTGCTGCTTAAGAAAAAAACATAATTTCTTGAAGTTTCTTGAAGTGTTAAATGCTTTGAACAAGAAGTCAGCAGAATTTCAGTAGAAATTCTATAAATGTGCTCAGATCAATTAGAGATTTTATCTCCAGATCACCTCTAAAATGTCAAGGGCTGATTATGAGCCAACTTTAGAAGTCTTCAATTTTGGTGGATTTGATAAGGAGACTCTATAAAGTATCCTACTTTTAATGGAAATTTCATACAATTTTGTTAAATCTGTTTGTTAGGGTATCCCTAGCAGTTAGCAAAATGCCTGAAAAGGTGTGAAGTGCTCTAATGAATAGGTTTTGAATGAAAGCATAAATCAATTGAATTTGATATCATGGAGCTAGTTACATAAAATTTAGTCAGCTATAATCTGCTATAAAAACATCCTAAATAAAGTTCTCAGCTTTATTTACTTGCCTTATTTTAACTCAGCAAATCAGAAAAGTACAAGCCTTGATAGTTGAAAATGCTTCTGTGAGATTTAGACAGGCAGCTTTGAGGAATCTTTTGGGAAAATTAGCGGTAATTGGGTAATACCTTTAAAAATGTTTTCAGGAATAATAGTTACGCTTTCCCTCCTTTAACGCCACTTTCTTGTGTGTTTCCAAAGAACAAGTATTGGCATTAGAAATTGAACTGTTACAATTTTTTCTCATTTAAGGGTGAGATTCACGTGATTGGTGGGTATGACTATACAATACTATTCTTTTTTAAGACAAGCATCTAGGTTGCAAACTTCCTATAAATCTTCATAATTTGTATTTTGTCTTTAGTAGTGGATCTTGTTGAAAGAAAATGAAGAACATTTCATTTATCTTAATTTTATTAATTAGAACATTTTGTAAAAACTTTCATACAACTTGTTCTAAGCTCTGGAAACACAAATGAGTCATACTTTGTTCTTGCCCTCAAGGAGTCTTACAGTTTAAGGAGAGACATGTGGCAGAAACATCCTACCAGTGCATAATGATGGGGTTCAGAGCTTCTACCCCAAAATATGGTACCTTGGCATATTGAATACCTTAAGCTGTAGGAATGAAAGCAACAGCATGTGCTGGAGGAACTTTCTGACCTGCCTCTGAAGCAAATCATACAACCCTCATGAGAGGTGTCTTCCCTGTACCCAGAGAAAAAACATTTTTAGCTCCAAAGGTGAAGGGACAAAGGGATCTGAACAACAGATAATGCTAATAAGTTTCCCTCAATTTTCTACACTCATTTCCTACTCTTTGTCCTGGTGTATCTTTCCATGGTTTTCCACTCTTTATCAAACTTGGCATAAGAACACTCAAGTGTAATTGTTTCCTCAGGTCTTTATCTCCTTAGGAATGCTCCAATGTCACGTAAAACTTACATTAAATAAATTTGTATGCTTCTCTTGTTAATCTGTCTTTTGTTACAGGGGCCCCAGTTGAGAATTTAGAAGGGTAGGAGAAAAAGATATTTTTCCTCCCCTATAGTATGCATTGACCATATTTAAGCAATCAAAAACAAAAGTAAAACTATACTTAAGTAGTGAAATTAAACAAAGAAGAAAATTTCTGTAACAAATCCATTTCTAAATACTTTGTTAGCCCCTCCTCCACAATATTGGGAAAGCAGTGTATATTCAGATCATATAAGGAATACAATAAAAAGTAAGTCTCTTATTCCGGTCTTTCCCCAGAGGCAACTAGTTTACAAGTTTTATGTGATATTTGTAGACATTTTAAAAACATGTAGAAACACAGATGAGTGCATTTATATTTAAAAAATACATTGGAGTACATAATGCATATCTGTACCTTGCTTTTCAGCATACCATTGTATTTTGGAATATTTTGTCAGTATCTATCTCATTTTTACTTGTTGCATGATATTGTGCAGTTTTAACCAATTCACTTTTGAGAAACATTTAGATTTGTACTAGGTTTTTGCTGTGACAAGTAGTGCTATGAAGTCAAGGAGAGAAAAGAGACATATGTGGTTTATGTGTATGTGTGTTTTAGTATAGTAATATGTATAATTACAACAAGGGTTGAGCAGAATCTTAAACTTTTAGTGTCATATATCGGTAGAATGTGTTGGACAATTTGATGGACTCTAAGGTAGTTCCCATGATCCCTGCCTTCTGGTGTTCAAGCCATTGTATAATCCCCTCACCTTGAGTGTGAGTAGAATTTGTGACTTGCTTCTAACCAAAAGAATGTCTTACAGATAATGGGATATTACTTCCTTAATTATGTTACATAAGATTCCAATTTGCTAGCCAACTTGCTGTCTCTACATCATTGGCTTTGAATGATGAATTGTTACAATCATTCAAAGGAAAGAAATTCTTACTATCTCAGTAACCTTGGAACTGGATCCTTCCCCAGTTGAGCCTCCAAATGAGTATCTAATCATGATTGACACCTTGATTGTAGCCTTGTAGAAGACCCAGCTAACCTATGCCAGATTCCTGACCCACAGAAACTAAGATAGTATGTGTTACTATAAGCCCCTGAGCTCCTGGTAATTTGTTATATGGCATGGAGGCTGTTATGTCCAAAAGGAAGGAAAATTTAAGCTTCTTGGATACAGCAGGAATATTCTTATAAATGTAACTGAAGGAGTTTTCACAGAGGTTAGAAACTGGGCTTAATTGGTCTGTACTTCCAGAGATTAAAACTTACTTTTAAGCTAACAGTGAAATATTTCTCTTAGTTAACTATAGGAATCTTAGTTACTAGAGGAATGATACAACTTTTAAGAAATTTTTAAAAAAAATTTATTTTTATTGAAGTGTAGTTGATTTACAATGTTAATTTCTGGTGTACAGCAGAACAATTCAGCTATACATACATATATATTTTTTCAGATTCTTTTCCATTATGTTATTACAAGAAATGGAATATAGTATAACATTTAGATTTAGCTCCTAAAACTCACCAGCTGTTGTGTCCAAAGTACATGGCTCTTTGATGAACCTGTAGAAGTTTAAGGAATTTTTTACGTTAAGTAGAACAAGGGAGGGTCAGGTGTACCCTGGAGAAATTAGGAAAACTCAAAATGAGTAGAAATCCTACCCCTAAAATTCTTCCTTTGTTCCCCTGTGTTGTGATTATTTTGTTTTTTTTTAAACTTGGCATGGATAATATCACATTCATCATTTTATTCCAACTATCTAGCACATTATAGATGCACGATAAATGTTGAGTGACTGTCTAGGAATTCTCATTGTCTCCTGTGGTCTCAGAAGGCAAAAAAGAAAGTCATGAATTGAACTAATGAAGTAATATGCAAAATTTGTATTTGGTAGTCTACTAGAGGAAGTGAGCAGTATGCCCAGAACTGTGTTATTATATGAGATGCCCTGTCTCATTTATTCTTTATAGTAGTTTGACTGGCAGTTGTTAGTAAGATTAAATAAAGGTAATGAGAATTGTATTATTTTGTTCATTTCACATTAAAGGAAATTAAAATCTTAGAGGTTAAGAATCTTGTACAAAGTCATATAACTAGTTTTATCTGATTCCAAAACCTTTTGTCTTGGTCACTATTGTGGCAGAAGTAGAAAAGTTCTCATTAGTTTTCATCATTGAAAACTTAATGTGTGTCGTTTATGGTAGTGAGAGGATGGCTGTTGATTAAGTATGCCTGAGATGACAATGGGGGCAGTATGATTTGGGGGTTTTGATCAAAAAGTGGTTTAATTATGTCATACTAATATGTTTGATCCTTGTAAGTATTAAACATCTCTGCTGCTATTCTTTTTAAATTTACGTGCAATATTATTCTCTTTCTGGTATACAATTCTTAGGAGTTTTGACAAAGGCATACAGTTGTGTAACTGTCACCACCACAATACAGATACAGAATAGTTCCATCACCACCCCCCCCCGCCCCCCACCATTACTTTGTGCTATTCCTGTGTAGTTCCCCCCGGCTCTAACCTCTGGCTGCTCTATTCTATATCTCTCTACTTTTGTCCTTCTAACAATATTAGAGAAATGAATTCAAATGGTGTGGAACCTGTAAGACTTGCTTCTTTCACCTGCAATGCTTTTGGAATTCCATTTTGTTGAGTGTATCAGTAGTCACTCCGATTACTTACGTTGTATCATTAGATGCTCTTCCACCTGTGTCTGCAGAGCTCTTCGTTTTTCTTCAGTCTTTCTTTCTCTCTGTCCTTTGGGTTAGGTAATTTCTGTTGATTTGGTTTCAAGTTCCTTGATTTTTTTTTTCTTCTTTTTGTCCAACTGCTGTTGTGTCCATCTAGTGAATTTTTTATTTTGTTTTTCTTTTTAATTGGAGCTGAATTTTTGTGTTTTGTTTCCACTTTTTTATTGAGATTCCCTTTCTGCCACTCATCAAGACCGTTTTTAAATTTTATTCTTTGAATATACTTTCCTTTAATTGTTTAAATATATTTATAGTATGTGCTTTAAAGTGTTGCCAAATTCTACATCTGGACCCACTTGAAGTCATTTTCTGTTGACTTCCTTTTTACCATCTTGTTTCTTTGAATTTCATAATTTTTGACTGAAATTTTTGGTTTTCTCTGAGGATTGTCAGGTTTTTTTGTTCTGGTGGACCATTAACTTACCTGGACTCAAACTACAGATTTCTGTTTCCTACACATTTTGAAGCAGCTAATATCTGTACTGAGTACTTTTTTTCTAGCTACTTGTTTTTAACTTGATCTCCTGGGGAGTAGGGTATGGAGGGTTCTTCAGCACCTGTGTAATTTGGTGGTCAGCCAAAAATTTGGGCAGAGATTACACTCAGATTTTGGAGCTCACTTGCCTGGTGGTTTCTCTACTTCTGGAAATTCCCTCCTAATATATATTTTGTCGGCCAGTGGTGGTCTCTGTCCCCTGACACCCCAAGCTAGTAAGGGCTTCAGCTTTCTGCTGCTTAGGCTGTATACTGTTGGGGAATACACTCAAAGTTTCAAACTCACATCTTATGCCATGCAGCTTTCAGTTCATCTGTAGTCTACTGTAGAGGCTACCTGGGGTCTCCCTTATGGATCTGTAATTTAACTGAGCAGAATTTATGCTCAGATTTTGGGTCTCACCTCTTTATGGTTCTTTCATTCCCAGTGTGTCTGCCTTAAATTTCCAGCTGCACTTCTAGCTCTGAACTATTTTCTCTACTTCTTTGAGCTGTATGGCTGCCTGGTTTCCTTCACCGTATTTGTAGGAGATGGGAAGGGCTCTCAACATAAAAACTTTAAAATGATCTCGCGGTTTTGTTTCCTTCCAGTTGTGGTTTTTCAACAGTAAGCTCTTCTTTCACTAACTGTATGTTTCAGGGACATTTTCCGAAACAGTGCTTGAAAACAATTTTTAAAAATTTTGTCCAGATTTAAATAATTGTTATCTGCAGGAGGCTCCCATGATCAATTCACTCAACTATTTTTGCAGGAGATTCCTTCTTATCTCTTTTAAAGATTGCTTCCACCTGTTCTTTTTCTTTCACAATTGTCTGTGGTAATATTCAGTCCCTCCAGCTTCTCCAGTTCTTGATGTAGCTGAAAATTATTGTTCAGTTCCTTATCAATTTAAGGATTTATCTTACACTGAGAATGGGTTAGCTAGCAATCATGAGTAAACTATTAAAAACTTAGTAGAATTTTTTCAAAGCTTTCATTGTGGTTATATTTATACCATATATGTATCATGTATTTTGTGCCTTTTAAGGTGGTACAGTCTCTCTTTTATGCTTAGAAGGAAGGAGGCTCATCAAATGATCCCTTAAGTTTCTGGCCCTTCAGAAATTTTTCCTCCATCTAGACCTTGCTGAATGTGTTAACATTCAGGTGTTCGCTCTTTTGTCTGCCAGTCTCAAGTGATTCATTTGCTCTGTGGGGCTGTCTCTTTTTTGGTCTTTTCCACATAGGAAAGGTTACCTTAGAACACTTTGCTAGCTAAGGTGACTTCTTGACTACCTCTTGGCCAGCTTCTACCATCCACTTCTCTGGCTGTTTGGTTTTCTAAGCCGCTGAAGGCAATGGTAGGTTCCTGACCTTGATATCATTATGTAATTCTGTTCTTTTCACTGTTTTCCCATGCTTACCTTTCTCTCCAGTAACTGTCACACTTGAATTACAAAGTTTGCAATGTTTGAAAGATAAAAACAATTTCATTTTAATGGAAAAGCTCTTCTCTAATGACACTATTGAGAGAGTCATCTCAATAGGATGGACAAAGCCACAAGTTGGCAGAGATTTAAAAGAGACATCTATTGGCAATAGGGAGCAAGTATATGAATTTCTGTGTACCTTGCTTGTTACATTGGAAAGAGCATGGGCTTTCAGTTAGACTGGGATTCTCATCTTAGCCCTAAGACTTCCTCATCTGTGAAACAGGATAATAGTATTGGATTGTTTTGAGCTTTAGATAGGAAAAATACCCTAGCATATTGATACATAGTAAGGACAAAATTGTCTCCATATACTATTGTAGTATTTTTTTAAAACTCTTCTATGGATCTGTGCCTTTAATTAATACTACCTGGAAATAGTGTCCCAGGGAATATTTACTTATGATACTGTAGTGTTGAAGATTCTACCCCGACCCCTGCCCCGCTTTTTTAAGGTAGGAATATCCAAGAGGAGAAGTAATTCAATCACTTTTTCCTGATTGATTTTTGGCAGTTTCCTGAATGCATGTCTCTAGCCAATAGGTCTAGTTATTCCAGCCTCTGTACAGATTATTTCTAGATTATTTAGAATTTACATTATTTATGTCATGCCTAAAAATAGTAATGAAACTGTTAACATATTTTCTAAGAACTCTGTTTCCAGTAGTCCAGTAATTACTTTTTGATGATTCCAAGATCCAAACAAGATTTTTAGTTTACCTAATATGAGGTAGACATTGGGTTTCCAAGTGTCAGATTTTGAAGAACTTTTTATGGTACAGAGTTTAGATCAGGAAATGAAGAGCCATTAAAAGTTTTTAGAAAGCTAATTCTGATTGCAGCAAAGCAAATATGGAATTGAATGGTGGTAAAGAGGTCAACCAAGAAGCTTATTGATAGATGTTAAGGATTTAAATGAAGACAGCAGCATTATGATTGATAGGGGAGAGGAGTCAAAAGAAACATTTGAAGTAGACTTGAAGTTAGGAAGTGAAAAGTCGAGGATAACTTCAAGATTTTTGATTCAGTGAATAGAGTTGACACTAGTTGATGTGAGAGGCCAAGATAGAATCTGGCTGTGTTGAATATGGGGTGCCTACTGAAGAATTCAGATAGAGATAATGAAAACAGTGCATGTAGTATTTAAAACCTGATGTTCTAAGGGTTTGATCCTCATTTCTTTGACTGCTGTCTGCCTGGACCTGGCAGATAAAGATGGAATCCTCAAGGACACCCAAGATTTAATGGGGATGAAGGGTGGGGTTATGGTGCAGTACTATCCAGATAAGAGATACAGGAGTGAGTGGTATAGAGCTGTTAGCAGAATCTTTTTTTTCCCTTACTAGGGTGAGTTTTTCAAGCACAGGAACGATATCTGACTTGCTTTGGTATCTGTAAATTTCTTAGCATGTTGTATTAGGTGTTCAATAAGCATATGAATGAATGAATGAAATAAAACATGTAATGTAAACGTAATGTCACTGAGTGTGGCACAGAGATTGGTTAAAATATAAAAGATCATTAGACATTTCAAAATAGTGTATAATGTGTCATTTGCCTTTTATCTATCAGTAGTTATATTTATAGATTGTTGATAACATTAAAAAATATACTAACATGTGTAGACAACCACAGGCATTGTTTTTCCAAATATCTCAACTTGAATTTCACTTGTTTTTAGTGTGTTTGTAACCTTACAAGTGAGTGAGGAGTGAGGTGAAATCCTTCAAATGCTATCTAAGTTTTACTGACAAACAAAATGTAAATATGGCTTTCCAATTCTTTTTAGATAACCTTCACCAGAACATTTGACTTTTTTGATAGCCTTCATCAGAAAGTTCTGTACTTTCTTGTGGCTGACTGTAAAATACATGTTGTTAATTTCAGTAAGGTTGATTAGGAATACATACTGCTGTTTCCCTGCTTCTAGATATTGCCACCAACTGTAAAATTGTGGAAAATATGAATCAGAGTTTACCTTATTCATTCCTTGTGGATTTTTTCAGTCCACATTTTTTTTAAATCACTGTTCCCCATGGCTTAGGATCATTCTTTCCTCACTGGACATCTCTAGGCTCCCAGAGTGTGGTTTATAGTTAAGAGTTACCAGATAAGTGCCCTTTTAAAGAAATGTTAATGGCTGAAATAGCTTACTTAATAGACCTATCCAGTAAGGAGAAAATGCTCTACATCTCATTCTACAGAACCTGCTAAATAAGCCTCTCTGCATCTTTCTTTTCCCTTCTTATCAGTTTTCTGTACTATTCTTTTGTGTGTCTCTTGGTCTGTGACCATTTTTTCCTATCTGACTTTATCCTGTCTCTCTGATTTGTTCTGTTTCACCCTTCTGCTTCATCTTTTCAGTACAAAAAACTAGCTATAATATCAAATTGAAATTTTAAAGTATCCTCTTCAGTAAGTATATTTTTATTTTTATAATTAAAAACTCAAATGAGATTTTTGTTTTCAAAATAGTTTTACGACTAGTTTTTATGTTCATCTGATATCTGACTGATTTTTAATCATTCAGCAGTCCTTAAGGAAGGGTTTCCTTTTCTGGAAGCATTCAGCAAATAAACTGTGTGGCATTTGCTAAGAAATTTGAATTAGCCATTGTACAGTTCTTCTCCTTTTATTACTTTTATTTCACTCATTGATCTAACTACCTCCTTATTTACATATGTATTATATTAAAATTCTCAC